TCGCGTCTTTATAAGGTAACATAATTAGTTAGGTAAGTTAATAAATAAAATAGGTCAAAAGACAATGGCCAAAGGACCTGCTCAAAAATTGTATCAACTTCTCTGGAAATAGCAAAATAAAATTATATTTTAGAAAAAAAATACAGAGAAAACGACAGTAAAAATATCACAGAACTATTAAAACTATAACGAGTCACGTATTAACAATGATTTCTGTAACATCGTTACATCTAGAAGCTGATATTGCTACATTTAAAAAGAACAACTACTAATTGCATATAGTCACTACGAAATAACGAATTTGCACATCATATTATATGTATGTAACACATATAAAAATACATATAACAGAATTATTTATTGAAAAGTGGAGATTTAATCGTTAAATAGTGGTAACACTGTATTAATAGGCTAGTATCATACATCTTTATGGTCAAACTAGGCACAAAAACCTTTTATAACCTTGAATCGAGATGAACATACATCGGCGACATCGGTCCCGTTACCATCTCGATGTAACGGACCAGCGAGTGGACGTGCCACGGCGCGGGCGCAACGCTTGAGTAAACGATGCACCGTGATGTACATAGCGACTTTTTTCTATATAGTGTTAACGCTACTGTTTAAAAAAAATGTGATTTTGAAATTGATTATTGACCTTTTTGGTAAAAGTTAACTTTAAATAAAGTAATCAGTTATGAACAAAATATCCCTTTTAATAAGAAAAAGCACAATACTTGGGTTAATAATAGTTGATAGATTTTTCCAGGTCATTGAGACAAAGTCCTAATAAACAAACATAAAGCCTATTTCAAACAATAGCTATATTACTACATCGCCGTCACTTCCTTATAATTCAACCCACTGACATTTAAACGATTACAAAGTACAAATCGAGTACAAATGGGGGCGGGCTATCAAAGGAAATGCTACGTGACGTTGAGAAATGCCGGTTCCTTTGGCAAAATGTCCAGTTTTCTCAATAAACCTGTTACGTTCAGGGTTGCCGTTAATATGACCACACACAGTATACCAAGGTTTATAACTAGTGAAATGCCTTAGCTTTGCTTTGAAGTAATAAGAGATTTTATCTTTTTTTTAGAAAGTTGTATTTTATGAATGAAATATTTATGGCAATAATATCTTTATATGTGGTGATGAATTCCGTACACTCATTCAGTTACTACGCAATCTATACATATAATAAAATTGTAACAAAGCCAAATCTGTACATTAAATATTTTTTGGAAAATCTTATTGAAATAGACATTATTGATACAGAGGCCGAAACTATAGTTTTTAGTATTTTTGTCTGTCTGTCTGTCTGTCTGTTACCGCATCACAGAAAAACCACTGGAGGGACTTTTTACCGCGGGAAAATATCTCATTTCTGAGAAAAAATACAAAAACTGCAATGTAAGTTTATACTAATATGTAAAACTTAAGAATTTGGTTTTTGGTTATTGAACGCGGGCGGAGCCGCTGGCAATGCTAGTACATATATAAATATAAAGTAAGTGCCAACCAGCAGCAGCCCTACTTCAAATGGAATGTTGGGTCCAAGGCTGTCGCAGAAAGTGCGATTAGATCAACACTTGATTAATCGAAAACATCTTGTCTTTTGATAATGATTTATTTTAGTGTTATCTCTATTTATTAATATATCTTGTAATAGAAAGAAGTTTTTTAATATTTCGCAATTGTAGAGGTGATGAATTTTTAAAGTCATAGGTAATTCTTTTAGCACCTTTGGAAAACATTATGAGAGTAAAACTTTTACGATGCGCGCGCACACCGACAGCCAAAAAGCGACATGATGAAGTTAGCTGCATTCCTTTGCCATACGGAATGAAATCTTTATACCTCTATCTTTTGAAATGAGCGTAAAAGTATTGCGCTTTATTGTTTACATAATAATAAGCCGTAAAAGATATAGATGGTCTAAGCATGTCCTAATAAATAATACGATGCATACTAATCAATGTTTGTGTAAACATAAAAAGTACATAAAACTAAATGCGCAATTTATATTTTTGTTATTTAGCTGATTCGGAATTCGAAGAACGTAAACGATTCTAAGGTATCTTGTTTCCTGTATGACGACATTTTAGACGATGTTCCACTTATGGACTAGTATTGCCCTATAACGTAAATGAGTATATTTTCAAGCTTTTATAAAGCAGTGTAGTTAAATGTACTTGTAGTAACAACTATCTTAACGCTTAGAAGGGTTGTTAAGTTCAAATCGATCCCCGGGAAAGCGTAAATTAAGACTGTAAAGCTTGAATTGTTTACCTGAACTGTTTAAAGCTCATTAACACTTCCAGGTAAATTTCTAAGAAATTAATTAAAAATTTAAGAAATCTATTGTTAACTGACACGCCGGCGTGTCCGCGGTCGTGGGGGGATTAAGATATTATTAGTCCGCCAGCTTGCGCGCCAGCATGGGGGACTATGGCCTGATTCCCTCGTATTAAAGGGAGGTCCGTGCCCAGCAGTGGGACGTTCAAAAGGGCTAATACAAGAAATTAAAATAAACAATCATTAGAATTTCTTATATACGAGTAAGTGTATAGTTATAAACTTATTTTCATACACTTGTTTTTGCATAAAAACCGGAGGCATTGTTTGACGTTCGGCTACTTATTATCTCTGTACATCTCATGGTTCCCATAGGGACATAACATCAGTAGAACGATCCCCCCAACGTGCGTTCACCTTGTCGTGGTGGGGGGGCTCAGTAGTGTACTCGCGAAGCCAAGAAACGCACAGGGAGGTGGTCCGCTTCGGTGGGCGGTGGGAGGCGGCCTTCTTCGGAGGGCGGTGTACCATGCGGGTTGCTCCTGGTACTTCTCTGATAGCAGAGTGGACCGTGGAGCAACCCCATGGTTGTTGTGGTCTGCTTCGGCAGACCTGCCGTCGGGGCGTCGTAGTTGAATGCGTAAGCGATCCTGCGACGCCCCATTAAGACGGGGGAAGGTTTTGTTGGGTTTTAGTGGGTAGTACTGGCTTCGCCGGTGAGTCCCACACTTCGTGCGTAAATGCATTTCCCAACGTTAAAAAAAAAAGAAAAGTCAGTAGAACGATAATTAAAGTAACTGGAATCTCTAGCATAATTCTATATATTTGTATTTAAAATTGCTTCACATTACATTTTAGAATCTAATCGATATATTTAGAAGACCAAATATGAAAACGGGTCATTTAACAGAATATATCGTAAATATACACTTAAATGTACGTAAATGCGACATTTTAATGTATTGCCTTTAGAGTGTGCCGAGTTCAGTCTTAGAATGCAGCGTGCAAGCAATGACGAAACATAGCCAACGTCCTCATGACGAAATAAACCGTGATAACCGACAGAATTGTGGTTAAGGAAAATAATTCTCTTTAAGTTATTTAAGACACATGTTAAATATTGCTAATGACTTTGCTTGACAAAACATAGTCGTTTTTTATTGAAACATAAAATTTACATATAAAACCACACAAAATATCTATAATATGACGACACGTTTGGCTCAGTTTGTAGTGACCCTACTTGCTGTGCCAGCGGTCGCGGGTTCGAGTCCCGCTGGGGGCATTCATGTGTAATGAGCATGAATGTTTGTACTCCAGTCATGGGTGTTTATTTTTATAATATGTATGTATTTAAAGTTATATATGAGTAGTGTATAATCTATCTGGTATCCATAACACAAGCCTCGTATCTTACCATGGAACTAGATGGTGATGTGTGTTAATATCATAACATTTTAATTTTTATTATTATTAATAATAAAACTATACTGAACTTTATACATATATTATAACAGAACCATCATTTAAATATGAAATAATTTCGTACTACACATATAATATATATTATGTAAATGTTTATTAAAATATAAAAATCACATTTCAGATAGTGAATATTAAGTAAATATCTACGAGTGTTAAACACAGCGGCCTTGATGATTAAAAACTAGGTTGTTTCATTCCTTAATTAGCATACATAAAATATTTTTATGATTTTCTCCATCGATTACGACAATCTATCGAAATGATAACTCATGCTTTAAAACGATAACTCGATCCATATTCATATACCGAAATAAAACAAGAGATAACCCCATTTAATAGAATTAACAAGTGTTTTCAATTAAACATATCAATATGTGGATACAATGTACGTTGTATTATATCTCGTAAATACGTTTTTTTTTTGTAATTTTCAATTGAATAATACAAATAATGTCAATTTAAACCTACTAAATACATACAATAAAGATAAGATTTCAATGAAAAGATTTCGCGGAAAGTGAGTATTTTTTTTTGTCTAGTAATGAGTATACACTGCGTACTTATATTATTACAGATTATCTCAAAGTCGCTTTAATGTTGCAATTCTTTTCATTTTACATTGTTGAAATGTACTTGCAAGTATAGATGAAAATTTTGAAAATCACATAAATAAAATTTCACGCTGGATAGTTTATTTTTAGGGTTCCATACCCAAAGGGTAACTCGGGACCCTATTACTAAGACTACGCTGCCTGTCGGTCTATCGTCCGTCTGTCACCAGGCTGTATCTCATGAACCGTGATAGTTAGACAGCTGAAATTATCACAGATGATGTATTTCTCTTGCCGCAATAACGACAAATACAACAAACGTGATTTTTTTGCTCATTTTTGCTCGATAATGATAACGGAAACAGGCAGACGCTGGAAATATTCACAAAATATTTAGTTAAAATAAAACAAATATTTAAGTGGGGCTCCCATACAACAAACATGATTTTTTGCCGTTTTTATTGATAATGGTACGGAACCCTTCGAGCGCGGGTCGATTCGCACTTGGCCGGTTTTTACTTCAAATTAACGAATTTTTTACTTCAAATTAACAAGGCTTTTAAGACTAATGGAATTCGTACGGGCATCAACACTACTAATATTAATAGATAGTTTATCTATTGATTAGTTATTTAAAATATATAGAGAATCAATCCATCTTACCTTCGTAGTTGTTGTCGTCATCATCGTTATTGTGCGCGGTACTAATCTGGCGGCAAAGGTCCTCATATTCAGCCCAATAGGCGGCAAGCGCGGCCGGGTCGGGTGCCCGAGGTAGAGGTAAAGACATGTGGACTTCCGGTGACTCCTGTAAAAGAGAATCTTATTAGCATACTAAGTACCTTTAACTTCTTAATTTATTTACATTAAGAATTTAAACCAAAAATCCTAAAAAAAAACAGTCCGCCATCTTTGAGAGTCCACCATATTAGATTTACAATGACGTAAAATAAACCGCTTTTGAGTTAACGCTTTTATTAATCTCACTCCTCATGAAATTTCCATACCGAGAGACTTATCGCCCGATCCATCGAGAAAATCGGTTTTTAAGGCGTAAACTCTAATACATCCTGATTGTATCGATTTTCTTATAAACCTTTAGAAAATTCTATATGAATATATTTTTTTTCAAACTCTCTAACACCTCTTACAAATGCTAAAAGCTATTGCAACAGCGCAATTAGAATTCTTCGCTCTTATATTAAATACTTAGTTCTTTTAAAAAATACAGTGACCTTAATTAAGACGCGAGATATTTTCTAAGAACCAAATCAGTAGTGATCATTTATTACATTAAATTTACGCAACGATATATTGATAAGAATCGCGATACATTAAAGGTAGGTACAGAATCAATGCTTTTTTTTTCAGAATCATAACTACTAAGAAAACTTTGTTTTGCGCAATATTTTTAGTTAAGTTTAGCGATATATTAATTGAGATCTAGTAGTATCTTATCCTCTTTGGATAGAATTTTCCATCAATAAATAAATAAATAAATAAAAGCATGCCAGAATCGTCGTATCTTGCTTTTATTAATGAAAGTCAAACCTAAAATTTCTTGTTCTACGTATGTATCATAAAAATAGTAAGATTTTCTGTTTGTTTTCCTAAATATATCCATGTTATCTTCTAGAATAGATAAAATCGAGTATGCCTGAACACGGTAGTTGCTCAAAAAGTTTGTTTCCAAAGTATGCATTGTATGTAGTGTGCACTGGCCCTAATAGATAATACACAATGTGGAGACTAAAACGAGATTTCGAAACTTTACGCTCCCAACTAAGAGACAATGCCATCTGTGATCTGATGAAATACAAGTTCGTTTAACATAATTATTTTACAGTTCCATTTAGGCCAGCCTAAATTATATTCATTTAATTTTAATGTAGGTGTGACACGTATTATTATGATATAAATATAAAATTAAAATCTATAAGTAATATAATATTATAAAGCTAAAGAGTTTCTTTATTTGAATCTATGGATCTACTGGTCTCATTTGAAAAATTAAAAAATGAAGCTTCTTTTTTAGCGTGCGTGTGTTTCCGCCTTTTTATTAAAAAAGGTTATGTTACATCAAACTACGAGAGCAGAGTAATTCTACAAAATAAAATAATGCGAAATCGCGAAAAAACGCTAGAACAATTATTTATAATAAACAACGAAAAACAAACGAAATTCGATATCCTAAAGGTGACAACTTTTACTTTGTAAAGACATTTTTTTAATTGAAACTCAGAAAATCTAAGAATCATCATTATCAGACATCAAAAAAAACACTTCATCATCAATACAACAGCTAAAATTATTTTTTCGTATCAGTTATCACCGTGATCACCTTCAAAATTAACTGATAATATTGATCTTTCAAAATCAAAAAATAAATATCACCTCAAAAGCCTAGAAGCTATTTACATCAGCTATTTCTCAATCAGTATGCTATCCAAAGGCCTTCATAAATGAAATGTGACTCGTAACTAGAGAAGATAATCTCCAATCAGCGGACACACCTCTATGTACAAATCTATCTACGAGTATCGTCAGAGTCAAGCAAATAATTCATACAAGGCCAATGATTTAAGCCGACTGTCTAATACTTATGTGCTAATTAGATACTAAAATGACAGATTTATCAAGGTAGGTTAGATAAGTAATTGTAATGAAATTGCACTCATAACATATAAAGTGCGTATTGGTTTTTTATCGTATACTATTAAACGAGCAATATTTGTTTATATATGTATATACCTACATATATTTGTGATCCCGTTCTCGAAAATGGATCGAAGGATTACGATGAAATTTGCAATATAGACGTCTACGGAGGCGAAAAATCGATCTAGCTAGATCTCATGTCTGGGAAAATTCGATTTCTCCGTATTTTCACCCAAAATTTGCTTGTGCAATATGAACGATTTGGATCTTTTGTATTTAGATAAAAGTATTTTAGATAGGTATATTTCCTAAAAAAAATTTTATATCTGTTTTAAAACAACAAAAAAAAACGAAGCCCGAACGCCCAGTTACTATTCACGTTTGCACCATGTACCATATGTCAGAGGACAACGTTTTAGTTACTATTTTGAAAGAAAAACTATATTTTTGTATTATTAGAAACTCGTCTTCTAGCTTAAGTATACCCAATATTAAAAAATATGAAAAAACTACCAATGATTAAACTATAAAACACGCCATCGTAAAATATCTACCTATCTTAATATCTGGAGGCTGAACTGTGAACAGTGAACACGCAACCTTATGTTAGAATCAGTATAATCTCAATGTTAATTTTGTAATTTAACAACACAAAATCGAATTCTTGTACTCAAAGGAGTGGTTCAATTTATATTTTGAAAACGACATTGAAATATTTAAATAACCCATAAATTACATTTTATGCTTCAAAAATATTATCGACTGGCAAATTCGTTCTAATACGATACAAAAAAGGCGATATAAATCTTTGAGGCCACGCATGTCAAGTATAATAAAGTAACTTATATTTCAAATTCAAAATAAATTATTTTTATAATACTGCATTAAAGATCTGATGCACAAATTTCTTATTTACATATAAAAAAAAACTAAAGTTTAGTCCACTATGGTACTACAATTATACTACGAACACGTTTACATTCCATACTAACGGTTGCTTAATGAAATTTGCATAAAAATCAATTTAATTATTCTAATAGAGCATTTTGAATAAATACAAAGTAAATGGACCGTGTCATAGATCATGTAAAAGAAAAATATATATAATAATATATAATAAAATTGTAAGTAACTAAGCCGAATCTGTAAGTAAAAATTTTTTGGAAAATCTTATTGAAATAAACATTATTATCGATACAGAGGCCGAATCTATAGTTTTTTGGATTTTTTTCTGTCGGTCTGTCTGTTACCGCATCACAGAAAAACCACTGGAGGGATTTATAGGATACTTCTTACCGCGGGAAAATAACTCATTTCTAAGAAAAATATAAAACGGCAAAGTAAGAGTATACTAATATGTAAAACCTAAGAATCTCGTTTTTGGTTATCTGAATGCGGGCGGAGCCGCGGGCCATGCTAGTCTACATAATATAAAGCAATTTCCGCGATATTACCATGATTCAATAAAGGGGCATATTTTAAGCCTAAAGCCAAGTTTGAGAAGTCTCTCCAGAGGCGCTAGCGTCATTATCGTGAAAAACACGTTTTATTAGATTTCTCAATTCTCAGAACGGTTCATCCTACGTAAAAACTAAAACTATACAAATCTTTTATCTTATAAATTAAATTTCCTATCTTTTTTATTTAATTTTTTTCATGTCATACTTTTGCACCTAGTGGTTTTCAGCCTGTGCATTGTCTATCGGTTAGATTAGTAAATTAACTAATAATGTTGTGCTCTGTACATTTATAAAACTGATTACGGTATTGGCTTCATAGATCAATCAATTGAACAATTGTCGCCATAAGCTTAGTTATAATAATTAATAATACTTATAGCTTCCATTCTTTATATTATTATAAATACGGAAGTTTGTGTGTTTGTGCAGGTTAGTTACTTTTTTATGTTACCTGAGTGAAGCGCTAGTGTTATTTATTTTAAATATTAATGTCCCAAAAAGAAAATATAATAACTAATATTCTACATAAAGGTAATAAACAGATTGAAACGTATGTGAAAAACTTTATACCTTTTGCTAAATTAAGAAACGGACCTTTTCTCGGAATTAACACATAGACGTGGGTTCATGCCCACGTCTATGTTTTAATTAAAAAAAAAAAAAAAACTTACCTAATTCATCCTATAATTGTCGAAAGGAAATACGTCATAAATCATACATCTAAGTTCATTGTTATTAAAGTACAGTAGAAATACGACATGCCCATCCTGGGTCATACATCCGTACATAGATATTAATTTATCACGACTCTACAATGCTACCGTCAATAAAATATACTATGTAGTACATTTTAAACTATCACAAAATTTAATTTTAAATAGACGACCATCGTGACGCGTAGAAGAATTTATTAAAGTACTCGTAACTGTGCTGGAGGTCATGGATTCGATTTTGCCCAAGTGAAAATATTTGCATATGAATAGATAGGTAGTACATATACTTATTATTTCGGTATATCAGTTGGATGCGTAGAGCTGAAGATCGAGGTCAGTGGCGTGCCATAGGAGAGACCTATGTCCAGTAGTGGACGAAATATGATGATGATAATGATAAAATGTATTATTTAGTAGCTTTCAAGTTTTTTTAGTTTTCTATTAATTAATCCATATCTAGTATTAATCTATAGGTATAGTAAAACTTTTTAATAAAAATATCTAAGATATTTAATTATTAAACTAAAATTAACAATATAATGAGGTTACCAATAAATTTGAATATAAAACGTTCCGCTAAAGGTGAATGTCGCTATTTCTACCAAGAATGTTCCGGGTCACTGGTAAACATTAATCGGTTTACAACTATGCCTATTGATAATAATCAAATATATTTACATATGTTAACGTATCTAATTAATTATATATTATCAATAGGCATCCACATCAAAGGAAAGGTTTTACAAATACTTTAAACTAACAAAGCTTTTAGAACAAAAATTGTCGAACATTTCATAAAGGTTTGTCTGTAATGCTATTAAAACATTATGTAAACTAATTATACTAATATTATAAAGAGACAAAGTTTGTAGGGGATTATGTCCGAATATACTGATCCGATTAAGTATTAGAGACTGTAAGTTTATATGTTATCTGTAATTTGTGGTGATATCTAAAACTACTGATCCTATTGTCTT